CCCTCCATGTAGGTAATTGCAGTAGGTACGTACTAGCTAACTAACTAACGAATTTCATAATAGTTACAAATGTGGGTATTTCTTTTCTATTAGCAAACAATAAGCTTGGCGGTTTATAAGTATGATATCTTGAATTTGCTTGAATATTTGGAAGTACGATTCTTCTTCAAATATACATACATACCGTAGGTACCTAGTTAGAGGGACATAAGTTCATACGAGTGTAGAAAACAGTTTCCCTTTTCTTAATCGATTTTTTTGTACATTATTCTAATCTACCTATCATATATCATCTTAATTGAGAGCAATGGTATAGGTTCTTAACTACCTAATAGGTTCCTATCATAACTATGTAAGGCATAAATAAGTAGGTCGGTTATCAATGCAGGGCCGACAGTTTGCACTCAATGGATAAGCCTTATGAACGGCTACCTATCGTTTATTTTGTTAGGAACTTAAGAAGATATAAAGGTGGGTACCTACTTGTCTACATATGAAGGCGCATTTATACTTTTATAACTACATAGGTATAGATGAGTAGTTATCAGTCCAGAAAGGATTTACAAACTAATCCACAGTAATAAAAATACATTTTGCAATAAAACCATAACGATTAAGCATTTATGTCGAAAGCAATGATGAACTTTGTGTGTGCAACATCTCCAAGAAATGAAAGATATCGTCAGACATCAACGATGAGCGATTGCATTTGAACAACATGGTAATTCTGCGATATTGCGTACAGAAATAGAAGCCTTGACGTTTCTTCCTCTCGCTAATTTTTAAATATTAATTCATGAATACGGTTACACCTAATCTTAATTTAATTTTATTATTAAATCAGATTTAAAATCCGTATTTCGTTATTGATTGCAAATTGCATTATAGAAACTGCAAGCTACGATGTCTACAGACAAGAGGTGATTGACCTTCCTCTTTATAAAAACAATAATTAATTAAAAATAGCCTTAAGCATAGGATTGCATAGACTAAGGTTCTGGCACTACCAGCTGCATAGATAGGAATTCACATTATTTGCATTACACTTCATCCCTCGATCAAGACGTACCTACATATGTACCTTGCCGATTAATGGAAAGTAGATAGCTAATAATAGTGCCTTATGAAGCTTGAGGCTGCAAGTGCAGTCGCCTGCCTCCGGAGATTCCTAACTCAATTATTAATATGTGAATTTAAAGATAGTCTACCTCGGTTTAAATAAGATGGTATGATGAATCAGCAGCAAATGGATACCGAAAGAAGTTATTCCTATATAGTTATAACGATGTACAGTATGTATCTACCTATTACGAAATAAAATAAGTATACCCATTGGCAATAGAACGGGACTTCCTACTTAATTATAAAACGTTTAAATCAACAAATAGATACTTAGCTAAGAAGGAAGTAAAAAAGAACGAAATAAATTACCTGAGTCTATGTATCCGACTGTGAGCACCGCTACCAAAGTAAGAACATTGAACGAATTCATTTTTACGCAATTTTATAAGATGCACATGTAAGTGATTTTAGTGTTAACCATTTATTATAATAAATAAACCACAAGTAAGTTATGATATAATGGCACTGTACTCGAAAGGGTGTTTGCCGAAGCAGGCACTGTTACTGCCCGTCACAGCTGGCGGTAAGGTGGCCACTGATGCTGGCGAACGGCGCTTGGCTCTCGTCATGTTGCATAAGTACCGGCCATAGTTGATACAGATTATCATTTGGGGGACACCAGTACCTACTTTCGCTACTTACCTACATTTATTCAGTTTTAGTTATGATTTGAAAGAGTCGTTTACATTGATCTCTATGTCAGGTCTAATTAAATAGGCATCTGTCAGTAAATGCTAAAACTGATAATGTAACGTGTTATGTGGCATAGGTATGTTATGTAACCACTCAGGCTTGCAGCTTACGTTGCAAGCCAACACAAGCCAATCCCAAAGCCTATAAATAATTGTACCTACCTAACTCAACTAGTACCTAGGGTTCTGCGAATTATGGACACTGGAATCTTGGTTTCTTAAAGTACTCAGCTTTTTAGGACAGCGTTAGCTAAATGAAAAAATTGTAAGAAGGACAATACACAATTTAGCAGATGAATAGATTGCAATCGCAGTTTCTATTCTGAGATTGCAATACAGTTGTTGATGTCCTAACTTAATTTCCGCATAAAAATGCGCGTAATTTACATAACAAATCACAATGAGGAGTAGACTGTGTATTTAATATAGAGATGACCTAGAAACTAGGCAAATATAACTATCATAAATATTTTAGTCGTACTGCCACAACGACATCGATACTATAGATAGTAATAGGTTTTTTTATGTGATGTAAGTTAGTCAATATCAATTTAAAAACCAGGTCAGCACCTTTAATGTTGTCCGCATGTGTCATACCTACCTACCCAGTAATCCATATAATAGAGACCATAGTATGTCCGGTCCAGTTTCTTAAGGAGTGAATAAAAAACTTATTTTTTTATGTGTTCGATTGGCAACTGAACTGTAGTTGAGTAGTATAACCGTATAATCCTAAAGAATGGTAAGGAATCGGCGCTACCCATGGAAGCTCGTAATTTCAAAGGCTTTTATGGGTTCTTAGGATTTTAGGATTTTAATGTTCGGGGATTTGGAGATTGAAGATCGCAGGGGGCGGGGGAGGATTAAGTTGAGCCTCCGGGAAGCTCATTCACACGGCGAAATCCAACGTACCTATATGTGTTCTATCCTACACTTTTACCTACAGTTCATTTGAATTCAGAAACATAGAATTTCGATGGGTTTATTGTGATAACACATTAAATATATATACATACTATTTTCCACTCCCACATAATAGATATTATAATAATACATACCTATACTTAGCTAATTAAATAAATAATGAACAGGGGCCATACTTATCATATCTATCAGTCAATAGAAAACCACACCCATAACCACATTGCACAATAGTCCTGGATCCATAGGAGATTATTTTCTTCTTAAGAAAACGTTGCGACTCTTAGATTTTTACCTGTGTCGTGGGAACGTTTGTTAACATACAAATTCACATACACAAGCTGCCAAGACCCGTCACAACAATTTGTGGATTACCGTTCACAAAGTGTTGTTCCGTGCGGGAATCGAACCCGCGCGACATGTTGATGAGCAGCCAGTAACTCAGCTACCGCGCCAACCATGCTGATTATCTTTGGGTGCACGTTCACATTGCATAAAGGGGTAATATTAGGTATTATCAAAGTTGTTCAAAGGACCTCTGCGAGTTGGCTTTGGCTCTTTATACGCGTTCCAGAGATCCGGGACCCTGCTATCCCGCCAACATACTTACATATTTAAATGCGAACTTATAAAATAAAAAAAACTGTTAACTAATTATGAGGTTATAACTTATTTTAACGTCGAGTCGTCAAACGTGTGTTTTGTATGCAAGTTGGGGAGCGTAGGGTAATAAATACTTAACTGTCGAAATTTATGTGCACCGAATTTCGTTATACTTATTATTATATGTACCTAAATGTGCAGGAGCTATGATGCTTCGGCAGGAATGGGTCGGCTCGATCGGAGTGATGATACCACGGCCTCACAGAAAACCGGCGTGAAATAACCACAGCGTTGTTTTCCGCTGTGTGAGTGAGGTCACCGGAGGCCCAATCCTTCCCCTTTCCCAATCTCTAATCCCCCAAAGGGTCAGCAACGCACTCACTTTTGTTGTGTGTGTCCATGGGCGGCGCTGATTGCTTACCATCACGCAATCCGCCAGCTCGTCTACTACTTTGATAAAAAAATTATAGTAAATACTTACCTACTTATGCTTCAGTTGTCACAGGGGCTAAGAATAATGACATACAATGTAGTTGCTTAGTATTTTTTTCTTTTTAAGTCTAAAATACTGTTCATAAGTATCACGTTGACTTCCCAGTAATGGCACGAGGGGTTAATCTCGGCATCGATTCTACGATTAAGTACGTCTATCTCGTCTTCGACAGCTCTTTGGCTCACACGCTGTGTGTCACAGAGGTCACAGTCAAAATCTGTGACGCGTTGTCTACCTAACTTAACGGATCAAACGCTTCAAGCCAGAGGTTGTGTACTGCCAGGGGGGATCATGCGGTTTAGGGCTCTCTACCCAGCCTCAGTGTCCAGCTCGTGTGATAGTCATGGCCAGACGATTATTATGTAAGATTTTGACGATATCCGAAGAGGTGGTAAATCTTCTCGCCGGATCACCGCCATGGGATCTGGAGGCAAAAGCGCTGACGGACATGTTCCGTTTGCAACCTAAGTCACGTCGTCAGAGTGAAGGTCCGCTGCCGCGCCGGTGAGTTAGTGTGTGGAGGGTTGAGTTGCAACGCGATCTCATGATGAAGTGAAAACAACGACTGTATCAACCAAGGGCCGAACTCGCTGCCATCGCAGCATTAGCAGACACGCTACGAGGCACACTGCGAGCACCACCCGGAGAGCAAAATGAAGCATGCGGTGGTAAGCTGAGCACCGATACTAATAGTTTCCATATTCCTTAACGAATTTACCGCAAAAGGTAAGAATTGACTAATAACTAAGAGAAGCCCAGTATTACAAAGGCGATTTTGGTGTTATGGTCGGTCTGTAGCAACTTTATACATCTGTGACAATAACATATGAATTAATACTGTTGATTGAACGGAGCGACTACATCATTAGGGAAGTGATTCCCTAGATTGCATTAAATTTATTAGATTAAATTAAATAAAACTCTTTAGAGATAAAGACTAGATACCAGACAATCTATAATCACACACAAATATTGTTTGCAATTGCATATAATAAACATATTGAAAGTTGATATGAAAGAGAAGAGTCTTCCAATAAAATTTTGATTATGTTACCGAAGATATGACTGTTTTTGATTATGATTTCATGTGATTTATTTAACATAATTCAATAAAATAAAATATTTAATTTCAACTACCATAAACTAAGCTAAATACTTTTTAGTTTCATGTCAATGTCCCACAAAGATTGATGTCACTGTCAGCTGTCAAAACACATTCGATAACCCTGTTCGTTTTTGTTGTTCTTGGATTCTGTAAGATTAGCACGTGTATTTAAATTAAATATAGAAAAATATTCAATTTAAAATGCCGCTAAAAGACGAGAAACCGCGGGTTTATCTCGAAGAATTTCGGGTGAAGGTAAATGTTTAAAATAACATTGTAATTATAAGTTGAGAAAAGGTTAAAAACAAACAATACTTTGAGCAAATTTGATTTACGAACATCTTTTTTTATAACCAATTAAATAACCAAGTTCATGTTTAACGCATCTGCATAATCTATTGGTATATTTATCCTAACTTTTTAAATGTTGCAGAATGCCCCCAATGATTACGGAGTGGCTGACGAAAAGTGGAGCTTCAAAAAGTTCACAAAAAAGTTTCGTATTGTTATCGTACGGATGGATAATTTTGAAATGGAATTTGACTTGATTGGAATACAGCCAGCATTCGCCAATGCATTTCGTAGATTGATGTTAAGTGAAGTCCCAAGCATGGCCATTGAAAAAGTTATGATCAGAAATAATACTTCAATTATTCAGGACGAAGTTCTAGCACACAGACTAGGATTGATTCCTCTTAAAGCTGATCCAAGATTATTTGAATATCGCCAAGAAGGTAGTAAAAATATCTAAATTTTCTTTATAATATTATTTTCGCTATTGTAATATTTCATTATATATTTAATTGTTTTATTTTTAGATGCAACAGAGGGAACAGAGTTTGATACTTTAGAATTTACAATGAAAGTCAAGTGTACTGTAAATAAATCACAACCAAAGGATTCATATAGAGCTGAAGACTTATATGAAAATCATAGCGGTAAGTGCTACATAATACATAACATAATGGAATAATTTAAAAAAAATCTTTACTATATTCTGATTCACAACACACGCCTCCTAAAGTATAGCAATAAATTCCATCTTTGCTGGTTGATGAATAAACTTAGTTTTATCAACACCATCTGTCACTATAGACCTCTATTTTTATAATTGACATCATTAATGTTGATTGAAGCTTTGTGTTTACTATTATATATATAAAAATGAAAAGAAATTATCACCATCTTTCAAACATCCACTTTTTATGATTATTTCAAAAATAATGGTATTATTTGATCTTATAGTATATTCATCGCAAATGAAATGGCAACCCATGGGAAATCAAGCCTCTGTTCATAAGGAAGCAGATATTGGTCCTGTGCATGGAGATATACTAATATCAAAAATGAGGCCTGGCCATGAACTGGATTTAACCCTTGTAGCTGTCAAGGGCATTGGAAAAGACCATGCTAAGTTTTCTCCAGTTGGTAAGTTTTATTACAGTATCTTCATCACAGAGTATTATTCTAGTTAATTTTTTTAGTTCTGTTCTGTTTTAATGATCATCGAGATTTATTTAAATGTGAACACATTATTGACTGACTAATACTAACTCAAATTAAAATTTTCCAGCCACAGCTTCGTATCGCCTTTTACCAGAAGTCACACTCACACGTGAAGTGCGCGGCAGTGAAGCGACACTGTTACAAAGTTGCTTCGCGCCAGGAGTTATCGGGATTGACTCTGAAGGACGAGCTTATGTAAGAGATGCCAGATACGACACTTGCAGCCGAAATGTCTACAGATATGATGAAATTAAAGATGCTGTCGTTTTGAGCAGAGTGGGAGACCATTTCATATGTATGTATTACTTTTGATTTAATATCTCAACTTTTATGCAATCATTTTCTGTGTTTTCAAACTGCTTACTTCTTTCTCATAATTTTACATACATCATTTATCCTACATGTCATTTATTTTTTTACAGTTAATGTGGAATCTGTTGGAGCCTTGCAGCCCAATATAATATTTGTGGAAGCAGTTAAAATATTACGAGACAAGTGTAAATCATTCCTAGATGAGCTGAATAAATTTAATTAAAAATAACTTTTGTATTTATTTTATCAAAACTAGGAGAGTGTATTGTAATAATTATGATGTCTGAGTATTATTACTCAGGTATCTGTGAAGTGCACATTTTGCAATTCATTTCATTCATTTGTTTATTATAAATGTGAACAAATGCAGAATATTTAACTGTATACTATGTTCGAAAGCGCTTTGTGATTATTGGTGGGATGCAATTTTGAGTGTTAATATGGGAAGGGGGAACTCGCATTCTGAACACGCCCTATAAATGAAACTAATTACCTATGAAGAGGCACCAATGCGTTGTGGTGTAGGTATTAGGTATATATTTTTTGAGTGAAGATAGATGGCCGTCGGAACTAAGTGGTATAAGTAGCGACACCGTTGAGCTCAAATTGGTTACTAAAATTCCTTTTACCTATCTCAATAACGTCAGTTTGAAATTTAAGTATCCATAGACTTGTATTGCCATAGAGTAAAAGCGTTTATTTGTCAAACACATTGACATAGGAAATATAAGGACTTGAAATACCTACGAAACAAAGGTGCATACCTACAATCCAAAATTTCGCATAAAATGGCTGCCGTTGCTAGGGTTGTGCCGACTAAGTATTTAACGAGTATCGATACAATTTGAGTATAAGTTCTACGTAGGTATATCTTTAGGGATTAGCCAGCTGATTAACGGTATTTTTTTATGGGAAATCGTCTAATGTCATCTCCGGCACTTTTCGCGACAGACCGTTACTGACTAAAATCAACTCCTGTTCCTACTTTGCCGTCGGCCTAGCTAGAGCCCGGAACCCGGGGTTACCAAGGTCTCTTGATTGGCTAATGATTTTCTCAAGTCGAATTTGTATCCATATAATTCTACGGAAAGCGTCTTTAAAAAAAAATAAAAAAACATACAATCGAATTGAGAAACTCCTCCTTTTTTTGAAGTCAGTTAAAAAATAGGACTGTGTTTATGAACAGCGTTTAATGGAATGGTAAAATAGAAAAAGATAGTTTTTGTTAAATGTTTATCCGCCGAAATATGGGGCCCCTTAAATGCGTATGTGCAACACCTGTCGGAATTTGTGATGTGCTCGCGCACAATTTCGGCTCGTCTGATTAAGCGATGATATCTTCGAAACTACATTAGCATAAAATAGATAAGTAGTGAAGTCAATCTTACTGTATGTATCTCACTTTTTATTATTAAGCTTAGTGGTCGCACTGGGATCGCCGCCAACGCTGCTCTGTCAATCGGGCCCGGATAGTTATAAAACATGACAATTTGAACTTCTACTTATGTAACTAAAACCAATACCAAAATACTGACGTCTTACTTTAGCCTTACACAAAATAGATTATTTAGGATAATATATTATGTTGAATTTTAAATGGGAGATTATATCGATACTTTTGTGGAATGGTACGTAACTATGCCATGTTGACATATTATTGTAAACAACAATTTTTTACTTAAACTGTCTCACAGACAGAAATAGAAGTAAATATATATACTTTGGCAATAGATTCAAGTATCCGTAACATTTTTTCTATCTATGTGGATTATTTTAAGTAATATTTGATGAAAACTGTTTACTAACCTATGCAAAGACAATTTAGGTTGATTTTCGTTCTTTTTTGCACCACACTGCACAATACAACACACAGGCATATTGTATTTTTGTTTCACTATATATCTTTGCAGTTTAAAACAATGGTTCTTTGTAATTTACTGGAAAACCGCAATAATTTAAAACATAAACAACCGTTTGACAGCACAACTACCATGAAACTCAGGTACTCTGAGCGCTTAAGATGGCGGACATGGCACTTACCTACAACTTTGCTAATGTCAAAATGATTTGTTGCCATAATAAGCAACAACTTAAATATTGTTGTCCCTTTTGTCTAATACAATTATTGCCTAAGAAAGAGTGAGAAAAAACTATATTTAATAGTTTGTTTCATATTTAACCCATATTTGTATAAGCGGGTATACATCTATAATAACAGGGCGCCTCTATATATTTTCTATCTCAATGGTCAAACAAACTGAAGTCAATGTCACTCAGTGTCAAAATAATGTCATTTATTGTTGATGAAATCATGAAATGTTTACGAAACGAAATACCTGTGGTGCTAAGACAACAATAGTCACACTTAAAACAAAATCAAGGGTTTATCCTTGTTGAAAAATTATTGTTACTCTAAACTATTTCATAACTTAAAATGGGAAGTCTAGATAGAGCAGTTTTGACGGGTTTTATATGTCGTTTGTGTTCCGAAATGCATCGAGTGGTACTACATATTTATGGCGAAGAAGGCTTACGTTTAAAGATATCTGAGAAAATAAGCAGATATCTTTCAATAAATGTAAGATGCAGCAAAATATCGTTGTTAATGAGCTTGTTTTATTTATTACGTGAGATATATTATTTGTTCATTTACTTAATATTTTTTTGAGCAGCACTCCATATCCTTTGTTTATATTTTTTTGTCTGTTTCATTGTGTACTCCAAATTCTCATTTTTAAAGGTTGGTCTAACGTGTTAAGATTGCATAATATCTGTTTATATTAAAATTGCAGGTGTCGCGGGCAGATCCATTGCCAAAAACAATCTGTAAAACATGTCTAGAACGATTGGAAAGTCAACACAGACTCGTAACCGTGATGGAACACGCAGCTCAATTACTAAAACGTAATTCAAGCGACTTAGAAATAGGTCGCGGCAAAGAGAATAATGATAATAATAATAAAAATGGTGGTTCAACACTATAATACCTTTAGATTTGTATTAACTGTGAAATTATTTTAGGCTAAATGAACTTTTATTTAATTATGTTGTAAAAACGTGTAAATTACCAGTGTACCTAACTTTGTGTATCTCAAATACAGTAGACATAGAGGTATTTCAGTAACATAATCACTAGCATTGATTATGTAACTCCATTATTAAAATTGATTCACTACTTACATCAATTTGTGTAAGCCATTGAGAAGTTTGTCACTCACCTAAAAATCTCACCATATATTGATTTTTCAATCAATCACTACAAAACAAAATATGTTTTTTTATAAGAAGCAAAAAATAACTTATGACAAATGCATGGATAGCAGGATTATTAGTGAATTATTAATCAATGTGGCATTGTTAGTAGGATGTAATGTTGCTAGTGAGCTATAATTTATAAAATAATTAACATTTCTATTTAATAAATTATTGGATTAAGAGTATTAGGCTAGATTTAATGAATTTCTTGAACCAGATATTGATAATTCATCAATCAAATACCAATGTTGTTGTGAAAAAAGGAATGTTGTTATGATACTGATGTCCATCAAAATATGTAAGTAGTTGGTGTTCTTTATTGTCATGTCATGTTCTTTATGCAGTCAATGTACATTTGTTTCAAATACATTTTTAATTGCTTTAATTCTTTTGTTTGCCTTTATTGGTGTTGGATTTTTTATTTATTGATAGTGCACACATATGAGTTAAATACTTTTAGATGTCTTAAATAATGAAATTATTGTTGGATCAAATCAGTTTAACCATATAGCTTCTATTATATGTCAATATAAGTATTGAATACTGGAAATCACAACAATATATTGTAATAATTGGCTAATAAAATTACCAAATCATGTAGGTACTACTATTACACAAAGAACAGATTAAATCTTTTTTTAGTGTGGTTCTCTTGAAATATATCGATATATTAGTCAATAATGTAATTTCAGGAATGCTGTCTTGTAAAGCTTGCAATAAAACACACTTTTGCGTATGAGGGAAGTATTCATGAAACAGGTATGAAGTAATTCTTTATGTGTACTTATACATCTGTTCTCAACAAACAGACTGAGCCAAATGCAATATATTTACTATATTGATTAAGTATATTAGAATGTAAATCTTGTGTAATGGTATAAATGAAATAGACTAAATTATATGAATAGTAAGTATATAATAGTACCTAGGTGTAGTATTTGCAAATTGCGTAGGTATCCCATTTCAGAGAATAATATTCATCATAATAAATACACATGGTGCTTCTTTGTTTTCAGTTTCATGACAAAAAATAATAATAATGTTTTTTTTTATATAAAATCATTCATTTACGTTAGCAACACGATTGTTGCCTGTAGATTTAAGTTGTTTTTGTCTGAAAATAAGTAGAAGCATTATACAGTTTTGATTGATTTCGAAGGTAAATCACTGGAGGTCCTTATACTAGGTCACGTAATATCTAGTCAACCGTATCTAACTGATTAAACTCGAAAGTCGGAACAGACCTCGACCTAGTTCGGAAAAGGTCAAAATAATATTTTACGTGAAATTTACATAAATGCAAAAATGATTCAAAGCTTTCGTTGCTACTTTGTTATGACTGTAACGCGAAAAATTACAATGATGATCAAAAAGGATAGGAAATCAAAAATTTTCATTAAATAAATTTTCATTAGGTTCAAAGTAACATAATAAGTTTACTACTTTGAACCTAATGAAAATTTAAGAATTTTTCATTGCAATTTTATTAAATGAGTACCTCATTGGTGGAATGTATGGAGGAGCGACTGAGATGTCGTTTCAATGGGATTCCGGGGTCCGGCAAGGTAAAATTTCAAATGTGTTAGTTTAGTTCAAAATGGTTAATGGGAATGATAAAATAATGATAACTCAGGAAATATGGACGTAACTATTTCAAAGACTACTGCGACCTCGCATGAAGAAGGAGAAACCAAGGAGTTTGGTACCATATCTACCTCTGTGGTCGTAATATGCTTTGTAAGTAGGTTTTTAGAAACATGCCTTACGATAAAAACCTCGAAGTAAATAAACTTGTTTTAGTAGCGGCTAATAATTACTGTAGGAATATCAAGTGTCATAAAAATGATGAAATTAGAATGGGTACAAAAATATATTTAATTCGTCCGCAGTTTTTTAATCAAATTACCACCTCAGGTTAAGTTTTAGTGAGTCTAAACTGGCGAATAATTTTGACCTGTTTATGTCAGTTATACTAATGAAAAAGCAATCGACAGTCGTGAAATAGGCTGTAGGTATGATAATACATAGGTAGTCGTAGTAGGTTCGCTAGTCGCTACATCGTAGCTTGATTTAATGATAAATAAAAATGTACAAAACCGAGACTTCCTGAAGTTTTTAGATTCGATATAATATGTACCTATAGGTAGATACTTACCTAATTATATCTTATTAATCATAAGTTTTTGATAACATAATAAAGAATTTAAATATTGTTGTGCCTTATTTATTTATTAAAAAGTAATTTTTCCTCTTCTGTGGGTTCCATTTACCATCTAAAGATTCAAACCATGTCTATATATCTACGTACCTATAAGGCATAAAAGAATTCTTTTACTTGGTTGCTAAGACAATACATTTAGGCGCCTGAACACGCTGCCTCTAAACAAAACAATTTCAAATACGCCATACTTACTTACAATTAAAAACTTGACTAAAAATTTGTACTGGTTCCATTATTATATTTGTGGTGTGAGAAATTTACTCCGTGGAAATCTCTCGTTTTGACAACTACTTACACCTCATATTGGCATCATGAAACAATGCAATGGAGTAAGGCAGGTACACCTTTATCTACCTCTTAGAAGTACATTTGAGATAATTAAAAACCTGCACCGAAATATAAAATAAAAAAATGGCTTCCAAGTACTTACGAGGATAGTTTCCATACCAAAAAGTTAATGTAGAACGTGGTTAGTTATATATTTGATACGGTTAAGGAACGGGAGCTACCTACATAATGATGTGATCAAATAGAACAATTCATTAGATTGTATTTAATTTTATTATATTTCAAATCTACATAATATTTAGTATTGCACAGTCCCACTCATTAATAACTTCTCAATTCTTAAAGCATTTTTCTGGATCAATATTTTGAGATCATTTATTTTATCATGTTTCTCTTCAATGTCCCGTTCTGTTTGTTTTAATTTAGTGTGAAATGGCGTCAATGAGTCTTCGTTTATTCTGAAAAAAAAGAAGTAAAATCATTACAAACCCTTATAGCGTGATTCATTGCATAAATTACACAAAAAACTTGCATCGTACAAATGGGGCTCCGCTTAAGTAGGAGGTAAGTAGGTAACAAGAAATAACAAATAAAAAAGACTTCAAAAATAACTAAACTAAAAGCAAAAAATAAATTTACTTTGTTCAAAGTAATGCATTTTTTCATTTAGTTAAATAGAAAATTATATTTAATAACTATTTTATAACCTTTACGTCGGTACCAAGTAAAACAATAATAGTGTAAAGATATTAGGTACCTACATACCTCTTGCTAGTTTGACGATTAGTAGTTATCGATCAATATATTTTTCTGATATTGTTGTTGTTTGGTATGTATCATTTACTTGGCACCGACTTCAAAATTATAAAATAGTTATTAAATATAATACTCTATTTAACTAAATGCAAATAAGTAGGTACCTATTACTTTGAACAAAGAAAATTTATTTTTTGCTTTTTAGTTTAGTTATTTTTGAAGTCGGTTTTTTTTTTTGTTAAAAAATATTTTATTTCACCATTTTAAGTGATATGCAGAAAAGGCTAGCATGCTTCTCGAAAGAGAAGACGACGGCTACTTGAGACCGACAATCACGGTAATAGTAGTCCTGACTTAATCAGCTTTGAGTGCTGTAAATCGTTGATTCAGTTAATTAAAATAATTGAGGAATTCCCTCGAATGTCAATCATCAGGTATACTGCAGACCTTCATTATACACAATCCATATAGGTGCAAAGTTCTCATCAATATAAATGAATTAAGTCAAAACACGAGGTAGTTACTATAAACCGTTCTGGAGTTCCCTGAGTTGTCTTTCGTTCTCATCATCAGCCCTTAATGACAGTCACGAGTCACGACCAATCTTAATGCAAAGTGTCTTAGAATCATTCAAGCCCAAACACAAGGCAACTACTCCAAATAGTCAAGGAGCTCCCTCGACTGTCTTCCGGCTTCATCATCAGGTCGAGTTCGAACATCGGCGAGTTGTAGCGTTTTCAAAAGCCTACTAAAACTACATGCAAAAGCACCACTCGCACCTTCAATTTTTGAAAGTTCAATTCTCTGGTCTTCCATCATCAGGTCCTGATTTCCTTATCATTGGACCATTCTGAGACTATCTCCTTTCCAACAAAAAAAAATGATCAAAATCGTTTCATAAATACCGGAGATATCGGCGAACAAACATAAAAAAAACATATATACGGTCGAATTGAGAACATTCTCCTTTTTGGAAGTCGGTTAAAAAATACTTACGTCTTTTGTTTTTGCATCTCCTTTGTTACATCTTCATAAATATTAGACCACTGCTGAAGTTCCTGACGCATAACTTCTACGTCTTCTTGGATGTGATCTAGTAATTTCCCAAGGGGATTAGCGACCCGAGACATAGCTTGGATATTAAACCGAAGTTGTTCTACTTCTTGGTTTACCGCCTCTCTTGCCTTTTGAGCTCCAAATTGCCATTCCTGTTATGAGAATATGAATATTGTTAATCAAATCCCAGAAAAAGATATCAACAGGTACCTATAGGTAATAAGTATGACTATACTATACTATAAATTAACTAAAATACTTGTAAAAGAAGTACATACAATTTCTGTTTTTCCTGTTATTTGAGACAGTTGCTTTTGAGAATCTAAAATTTGTTGTACAAGGTGTCCATGTTCATTAGATGTGTATGACAATTGCATGTCTTGGTTATCTTCAGGGCTTGTGACCGTGTTTCCCTGATTTGCCATCATTAAAAGGTTCGTTTCTTCTTCCTACAAAATTAAAATTGCTTGTTAACTAAATCTTGCTTGATAACTAAACGTTGCTCATAAGTGATATTATCGACGTTAAACTTTAAACTTTTGCGTTGCATATTATTATGCGATAAAGTAATGATAGGTATATCAACGCACCTCTTCGTTCTGGGTGTTTTCCACAATTATGTTTACTTTACCCAATAGTAGATTATCGGAATCTTTTATAACATTGTCAAGCTTTTCTCTCATTCGCGGAGCTCCGGGTCTAGAAGAGGAAGGCCTTACACTTAGCGGTCGTGGATTTTTTGATTCACTTGTGGTTGACATTGGAACTTTTACTAGAGATGCAGATTCTTGTTCAGAGATTACAGATTTATTTTCGAATTCATTATTACTAAGTTGGTCCTTTTTCCTTTCTTGAGCTATTATATTATCCGAATCACCACTTTTCATCTTCATGTTATCGTTTAAATCGTTTTCGTTTAAATTGTTATTAGTCTGCATTTGGCGATCAGGTTCAATGAATTCTGATTCATTTTTGATATCTATTTCTTGGGAGTTCATTTGATCTTTGATATCATTATTTGCAATGTCATTTAAATCATTTGATGATGTTGAAGAATTTAAATCATTTTCGGCAATTGTGTAGGATGTATTTAGTTTCCCTTCATCATCCTGCTCTACTCTTTTAGGACTTAGAACTTGGCTCTTATTTACGTTTTTTTCTAATTGATCGTCTTTTTCTATAAGTATATCAGATTCCTGTGTTTCATTTTTAATTGACAAATTTTGACCTTGATCTATAGAACTCGATGAAGAAATATTTTTATGGCGCGTATTTGTGTTATCCTCTTTCGGTGCTTTATTGTCTTTACCAGCTTTGGAGTTCACTGTTTTTGATGACTGTGTTTTCTTCAAGTTCTGAGAATCAGTCTTAACCGACCCATTTTCTTTTCTTTTTGGTTTGACATCATTGGCTTTATCTTTATCTTGTTTAGCCGTAGGCCGCGCGCCATCATTCTTTTGATTAGTTAATTTTTCGGTGCTACGAGATGTTAACTTTTTTGGTTCGTTAGTTTTCTTTATTGACTTGATTGGCTCTTTATTTTTTGCATCGGATAATTGAGTTGACTTTAAGCTTTCCTTATAACTTTTTACAGCTTCATCTGAAGATAATTTTTCATCGAGTGCCTGGGCTAAACATTGAAGTAATTCATTAGTTTTTTCAGGTTCTTGACCAGCAACTATTTTCGACGGTTTTGCAGCGATCGATTTTCCTGTTGTTTTACCTGGTGACAACGTTAAATAATTAATATGTGGGTTTTGCGTTTGAGCGCTTGTAAATGTGTAGATTTAGTAACAAAATACCGGCTTATAGTGTTAAACTTACCCAAAACAAATATCACTTTATTGAGAAATAATATTTTACTATCTCTATCCTTAACATTTTCCGATACTAACTCACTGTCTTCAAACAAATTTCCAAAAAATCCTGTCGTCTTTAATACCTGCAATCAAAAAACAATTGACGGTGGGTGTTGTTCAAAAATCATAAAAATTATCTACTTAGTAGGTGTGGCAAGTAGCATCTACTAAACAAATAGATATGTGGAATATCTAGTAGGTAGGTACAAAAGCTTGGTGTTTATATAATAAGGTCCACATACCTACTGGATATATAAATCAATACTTAAAATTGATCTTGTAGGTACATAAAAATGAGAAGATATTTTTTCATCTGCGTAGTCGGTAGTAAAAACAACAACCAAACAAACGGCTATAGATAAACCTATCTATAAATGTATTTATTTACATACCTACCTAGCTGTTTAATAAAGAAAAATGACACAAACATGTTCTAGGTAATTAAGTAATCAATAAATGGAAAGGCAGTCGGGCACAGGTTTGGTTTTGGCTTTGCTTTTTTAGGTTTGGTTTTTTCTATTATTAGATAAGTTAGTATTAGGTAATTTTTCTATGTCTTCTAGATGTGACACAGTTTGTCTGTACCTAGATGTATTACATAGGTATTGTTCGGTCCTAAACTCCACGCACCATCTGGCTCCATTTCATGAAAACGCCCGTCACTTCAGCCAACATGGATCTACCGAGGACTGCCTAGCTTTCTTTTCCGTTGGGCATTCTAAGGCTTTGCTTGCCTGACTTCGCCCGTCCTGGGTGAGGCGAACGGGACCGATATTCGCATCTCAAACGCAGCAAAAAAGACGCTCTAGGTGCCTGCATTACATGTTCAGCAATCGTACCAAGCTGCCGTCTGACTAGAACCAGACTCAAGAGTATGATACGTCGCGTCCAGCACGTGCTTTGAGAAACCGCACGCGGGGCGCAGCCGCAGGCCTGGGAATGTCCATATAAGAAGGCTGTTAAGACGACAGCACCGGCCCCCTATTTACTAAAAAAAGGAAGGTAAGGCTGAACCAGCGGTGTTGCAGCTTCAATTTGCAATGCATTTGCCCCAAGCTTCAGTTTCTATGGTAAGTCTGATATCTGGTGGGTTTGCGCAAGTATCTTCGTATGATATGTTTTCATATGTTTAAACCAATTCATGTCATTAAAACACTCACTATACGGTATAAGCTATGATGATGTGATGAATAGGTCGGTATGTAGATTTAGAAAAACTTACCGTCGTCACAATATCGTGTAAGAATCTGAAAGGTGGCTTCTTCAGTAGTTTGTCACTGAGCGGTGGTCGTTTAACATATTTGCCCAATGACAACTGGGTTGACTTTATTATATCTGGATCTAAGTCCTTTTCCATGTCTCATAATTTAAGTTCTATAGGTAGGTACACAAAAATAAATGTATCAATGCTTTAAAAAATCTTTAGCAACGAGGCACTAATTTCAATTGAAAGCGAGAGCAGCTGTGTCAAACCCAAAGTCAAACACGTTGTCATGATGATTTCGATTAATTTGTTTACATTCATTGTTACCATAGCAACTATGACCCAATGTTTATAATCATACCGAATCATACAGACTTTGGCGATGCAAAGATTATCCGCATGCCTCTAGCGGCGAAATTTAGAAACTGTCTAAAAACGACACTTTGTTATTTATTTGTTGTTGAAGTTATGTTAGATTATTCAGATGGATCACGATTATATGGAAACCTGTTACTAATAAAACTAATAAAAGCAGAAATACGAAATATTGTTGCGTTCCTCAATGTAGTACTTACAGAGATACGGGAATAAGATTTCATTTATTATCTACCAATTACCAAAAGACAAAATTATGAAGAAAAAATGGAAGACTGCTTTAAGAATAGGCAAGCCAATTTCACCAGCAATGAGAGTTTGTTCTAATCATTTTCAATCATTATTTTTTTTCCAAACGGAAAGTACCTATAATTATGTTTTAATTATTTTATTTTACATCCAATATTTATAATATGTACCTATTTCATAAGTTATTCATTTAGTTTACACTAAGGCGAGTTTCTCGTCAGATAACGAGATTATGGTTATTGATCCAGATTCTAAAAGGCACAAGTTGTTTCCTTATGTCCTATCGTCTCCGAATATTCCTCAAATATGCTCCAATAATGAAGTAGGTACCATTAGAAAAGAGCACTCAAATAAAATTTCTTCATGTGTAAGAAGAGGATAGATCAGCTTTAAAGCAATTAGGTAACCCTCTCAGATTTACGTAGTAGTGATATTATGTATTTATTCACTTTTACGGGTATATAATAATATGTATTACAATAGAACTTTTAGAAACATCGGCTATTGATAGCATCATTATTGTCTTAGGGCTGATTCAATGGTTAGATAAAAGTTACCTGTGAAGTAATTACTATGCTTTCGCGTTAGAATGTTTGTATAAGACAGTGATAGCAACAATTTTATTCCTCAGATAACATTTATCAGCCTATTGAAAAATCAGCGCTTAAACAGCAAAATTCCACTTAGATCAGATTTTTATTTATAAAAATTTTCCCTGACGTTAATTGTTAAGAAATCTGTCAAGGTGCCGTTCTTAGTCAGCTTCACAATTTTCACACTAGAGGCGTTAGAATCTTTGCATCGCCAACAATATAAGTACTGTAAGTACGGATGTGCAATTTAGTAAGAAAGACTCTAAAAAAGAGCAGTTGCGCTCGGCTGAAACCGCTATCTATTTATTTCTTACAAAATTAATGACACTCATTTGAGTGCATTTGCACGGTATGCCTTATATCTCATGCAGAAAGTTTGCTGTGAAGATAGTTTGCTAAGTGACTGACTGAAAGCTGGCATAAAATAGAATTATTGATTTATCAATTTCATAATAATTTTAGAGGTGGACACGTAGTGCCATCTATTGACTTTACTCTCGGAATGGGCGAGTTTCCAACAAGTCAAATTCAATACTTTTAACCAAACGTCAAAAACGATAATTTTCTGTTTGTATGAAAAGCTGAGCTATGACGTCATAACATTTTTGCGTCAAATAGCTCACTTATTTCATTTAAATTAGCTAAAAAAAATAAAACTTAGTGTATCGATCGATCAATGAATAAAAGTATAGTTATTTTTCAATATTTTATTGTATTGAAACATCAAATTAATTTATTTTCGACCTAGGAAACTACCCAATTGTCTTCAATTTGTATAAATGCACAATGTTAAAAAAAATACTTCGTATTTAGTTATTAATACACATAATTATCTCTTTTTATCTAAATAAAAAAAACTACTTATTTATTTGCCTTTCAATAGTGTACTAAATTTGTCAATGTCTAACTTAATTTCAATGTCAAAATATCTCTTTTGGCAACCCAAGCACTATAGTAATTTTTATACGTGGCGTTTTAGAAATACGAAGGGAATCTGTCAGCGCCTGAGTGAAAAGAATATCAAATTTTGTAAAAGTGAACTCATTGCACATCTTTGAAAACAAACCAGTATTAATAAACCTATAAACAATAACACTAAATTCAATGCCTCCTAAACGAAAGGTAGGGCGTCCACTTGGGTCCAAAAATAAGAAAGGAAGGAAAACGGACAAAAAGAATGTTGGGAAAAGGAAGGCTGTATCGTTAATAGGTGTAGTTGAGGACGGAGATGTTTGTTCTTCAAATGGTAATGATTGTTTTAAAAGCGTTGAAAATATCTGTGGAGTGTGCAAAAAAATATTTAACTCTCAAGACGAGCTAGAAACACACTACAAACGGTGTCGTGCTTTGGAAATTGTATCAGATTATTTCCCGAAGGTAAACAAAGTGTTTCGTAAAGTTATATCTATCATTTACATTCTGTGGTCACATGAAACTGATTAACAGGCGCAGGCGCAAGCTCGGAGTCCTGTTATCAATCTAGATAACACAGTGTTTTGTTTATTTTGTTGCTTCAGTATAAAGGATTTGTAGTAAAAAATGTTGCAAATAAGTATTTTAATTACCAACTGGGTATTTTATTAGAATACTATAAAAACTAATTGAGAGCTGAATTAATTTTGTGTTTGCACTATTCTAATCAATATGAATATGCTTTGTATGACAGGATTGTAAATAAGTAGAGAGAACAAAAAAATACAATTAGTTTTAGCACTGTGTTTGTCAGACACAAATAGTATTTATTTAAATGGGAAGTGCCCTGCAGATTTCAATTGAAAAATTAAATGTATATAATAATTGTAATCTTTTATTTTATTTTAAACAAGACAACACTTTTTGCAGGCAGCATACACTTGCAATGAATGTTCCAAGAAATTTCGATTCAGAAAAAGTTTTATTGAACATTGCAAAAATGAACACTCTAAGTCACCAAAGAGAGTGGCTTGCAGTCAGTGCAATGTCTATTGCCCGGACAAGAAGACATTGGGTGAACATGTTGCTAAGGTCCATGAAAGAGATATGTATGAATGTCCTACATGCAAGCGGCTATTTGTCCGTCGATCACATGTCCTTCGGCATATGGCGCAGACAGGCTGTGATGGACAAGGAGCTGCAGAATACACATGTGAAGTAAGTATTCCAGAAATCTTTTCTAATATTGTACAAAAATATAAATAAAGTTTTTAATTGGTTTAGTTTAACGAATAATGTAAAAAATTAGGAGTGTGGGGTCAATTAATACAGACTAATCAGTACCCAACAGATCTAAGTTGTCTTATCAGTTGTAGATTGCTAAAGTTGGTAATGACAAGATGTGCATGTTCAGTGGTACGTATTTAAGATCATTCTGAAGAACTTAAATAAGTTGTGTTTTAAGTGAGAAAGCATAATGTTTGCTCACCATAAGATAATCCTTTTTGGTATGAGAAAATGTTTCAAGCTGTAGTGACTGATAGAAAATACCATTATGTACTATGCGCAAAGTCAATATAAGTGTACACTGTTAAGCAGGTTCTAGTGTGAAAACAAAATATGTACAAATTACTTAATGATTATTCTATATTTTTACAGATATGTTCTGCAAAATTCACGAGAAAAGACAATTTAATGGTTCATATAAGGCTGCAACATATAGTAAAAAATGTTTACAAATGCAAGAGCTGCAAATATGATTCAAAAAATTTTTCCAAGTTGGTTGCCCACTGGCATGCAAATCATTCAGGTATTTACCAAACGTTTTTATTGCATTTCATTAGTTTTTTTTTAATCTCTACACTATGACCTTCACCTGTGTCATGGGTATGTATTGTTAATAAAAAATAAGTAGGGGTTTACAGAGATGATTTTTTGATAATGTTAATGAAAATAATCACTCCAAAAGTTAAAAAAATGTGTCCCTGCCCTCTAACTTTTGAACTATAAGTTTAGAAAGTAAGGAAAAAATCACAAAATTAGAAAATTATTTCCGGCCGAAAATTTTTGTCCAGTTGTGGTTGATCTCTCGTTGGTGTTACTGTATAGGCAAATTTATATGTTCTCGTCATAAACTTCGGCTAGGGAACCCTACACTGAGCGTAGCCCTATACACTCTGGGCCCGTTTTTTTAACAACTTGTTCTCTGTATTTTTCTCACATATCTACAGGTACAGTAATGTATTGGTAAACTTGTAAAATGTTTTTTTTTTAAAGTGTAATGTCGATATTTCTTTCTTGTTCTCCTCCATTCGAGTCTACATTTTGGAACTTGCACCTAGCTTTACTGATGAACAGACTGACAGACTATTGTTCTATTTGGTCTTTTCAAAAATACCTAATTATACTCAGAATACAGAATAGTTTAGTTGGAATAAATGATTTCGAGTGACTTTTTATAGCAAGTTATATGAACAAATAAAAATTGTTATTATATAGTAGGTACCTGTGTGCATTATTCACTAATTATATGTACTATAATTCTTTCTCCAGAGACTCCAGGGCAGTACCAATGCCACAATTGCAGCAAATGGACTAGCTCACGAGCCGCCATGACCAAGCATCTTGAAATACATGGTGAAAAGAAATATTCATGTGATGTGGTAATTTTCGTTTACATTATCCTACTATTTTTTTTTAATTCCAAAGACACAATCATTTATTTATTTTCCTGCAAAGTATTCTCGTAGTTTTGTTTTTGTCTACTCATATTAGTAGACCCTAACGTCTGTTTAAAATAGTTACGAAAAAAATCCTAGAATTGAAATAATATATGTATTAATGTGTTCTTATTTGTTTGCTGCTTTCATGGTATTAGAAGCTAAGAGGTAAGTAAGTCAGATGTGTGTGTGTGGTACAGTTATCTAGAGGGCTGTGTAAGTAGATATGGTCGTTGCGTGGTTGCAGTGCGGGTACTGCACGTACACGGTGGAGGTGATGCGGCGCCACGTGCTGACGCATGTCGCCGACAAACCGTACAAGTGCGAGGTCTGCCCCAAGTCCTACATCCAGCGGGCGCAGCTACAGCGCCATCTCGAGGTCCACGCAGGCAACCGGTGCATCAAGTGCGATACTCCATTTCCCTCCAGAGCGAAGTGAGCATCAATCAGATCTATCATATATTAATTTAAACTTAAAGTGAGTACTTATTAACAGTCTTAAGGGAATCCCGAGCGTATAGTGCGTAACGTTCTTCGAGCTTCAAAGAGCCAATATCCCACCACAGATGGGGTTTAACAGGGCCGATGCAAGCGCAATAAAGTAACACAGCCATAGCTAGAAGCAGGAGAAGGATTGGGTTGGGGAGAGGAGGGGGGATGTCTGAATAGCTTCTTTAGACTAGACAAAGAATAAACTAGTTTATATGAACCACATATGTCACATAAGTTTATTGGGCATTCTAAGTTAATTTAAAGCCAATGCTATTGCTATATTAGTTGTATAAGATTTGTAAGTATTATTTAAAATATTAATATTATTACATAAATTTAGGTTGTAAATATTATCTGTTTGCAGGTTACTGGTTCACATGAGAGAACATATGGGGTTAGATAAGTTAAATTGCCCCATGAAGACATGTACTTATCACACAAAAGCATTCTCCAGCGAAATAAGCCTGAACCAGCATTTAAAAATTCATTTAGAGAACAAACGTAAGTATTTGTTAGAATATATATTTATTGGCAATGCTAGGCTCGATGTCAACCACTAAAATAGAGATAGTGTTGATAACGTGGTGATTGTATGACAGCGTACAGCTGCGAGGTGTGCCACAAGAAGTTCCACTTGGAGGTGAACCTGCGCCGGCACCTGGAGACGCACACGCTGGACCGGCCGCGGCGCTGCATGTACTGCGTGTCGGCGCGCGCCTACGTGCGCGGCGCCCAGCTCATCCGCCACGTGCGCAAGAACCACGAGAACATCTTCCGCGGACACCTCCTGCATGTGCGACAAGTGCTCGTGAGTACCACGCTTACAACCTCTGTGCTTTCAAAACATTCTTTATGAATTATAAAAATACTTATTATTCATTGAGTAGCGTCTTGAACAACTCTTCAGTCAAATGGTTAATATTTTTCCAGGGTGCCGATAGCACTGTAGAAAGAGTGAAGAAGTCTGAATTGGAAGCAATCCTCAATTTGTTAGATGTGGAATCGGATCGAATCCTGCAAGGCTACAGCGGGTCTGATGTGCTCTATGGTGGTATACAAGATGAAGAAAATCGTACCAGTAAGGAAGCTCCTAACATTGAGCCAAAGGTATGCAGAGGCTACAGAGCTAAAGTTTGTAATATCTAAATAACTAGCTACTCTCGCGCGGTTTCACCCGAAGGTCGGCTACATTAATTAGGAGCGTGATATTTTGCCTATAGCACTCAGGATCATTGTTGCTACTTATCTATCAGTGAAAGAAGTTTGGAAATCCGACCAGTGGTTCCAAAGTTTACCCCTTACATACAAACATACGAACTTACAAATTTTTAATATTACATTTAATACCTCTTTTTAATATTAGTATAGATTGTAAGCTATTACCAAATCAATATTTTTTATTGCAGAAAGTAAACTCTCCGCTGCTGTCTGAAGAAGAACTTACTGATAATCTAAGAAAACTGCTTTCTAAGCTTATTGATAAGGAGACACTCGATCTTTTTGGATGGCCGGACGAGAGCATAGATGTGGTATGTTTTATTTAAAAAATATTGCTGCGCCTTCATCTTGGGTTTATGTAGGGTAGAGACGAGTTATATGTTTTCTATTTTAACTCAGGTATTGGAAAAAGTGATCGAGCAATGTGGCGCTAAACCCGCAGACCGCGACAAGTGGACTCGTGTACAACGTTTGCGCGAGAACTCCAAACACTTGTTCTTGTACGTTATTGAAGACAAGAACATCGCCCGCATGCTGGGCACCCACACCATTGATCAAATTATTAAACATATACTGAAGCAAGTCAGCGACGATGATGCCAACGAGATCTAGTAAGCCATTGTACATTCACGTATGTTTATTATATACTTGCACGATTACGTCAACATATCGACTCTATTACGGTCTTAAAACATTTGTTGAACTTTGGATTCTATAAGAATAAATCTGTTATTATTATATGTTTTACGTTACACACTTACATCTTGTAAATTTTGATTAACTGAGTTAAATGTACATACGTAACTACTTAATAATTTTATAAAACAAATTATGGTTGCTATTGTGCAAGATTTAATCTATCTACCCAAGAATTATGAACAAAACCAATATATTTTAATTTTAATAAAGTGGATTGTTAAAAATAACATATAAATAACAAGCAATTTTAGCTTGCATTTAAGTTTTTCTACGGTTTTGCAATATAATTATTGGTAAATAGCTAATGTTTTAGAAGATTTATATGAAATACATATAAGGTACAAAATACTTGAGAATATGTTGTGCAATCGTCTGTGGATGTACCTGATGTTTTTTTTTTAATGTAATCAGATTATTAAGTGATTTATGTCCAATGATCAAACCTGTTTCATGTTGTGGTCAGTGTTAAGTTGTTAGGCTCCCAATTTTAACTAAACTGTTTAAATTGATTGCATTTCTAACTGATATTGAAGTAGTAATATCATGATTTTTTAGCAACTTTTGGTTTTACTTGCATTTTCCTAGATATTAATTATGAAAATTGTATTTTCATCTTGGTGGCCTTAAATTAGTAATTATTTTTTATAGTTTATAAATAGGATATAATAGAATAAATAATTGCTTTTTATCAGGAAGGCTTTCGTTTAGCCACTTATTATCTACAGGAACAAATTGTGCGTATTATTTCTTATCCATGTCCGCTCAGAGTATCTCTTAAAATTTTTATCCTTGAAAATTACAAGACACGTTTTTTTATGTAAAAGACATTAATCTAGTTATTTTGTGAAAAACGTGCTTCCACAGCTTTAGCCAAGAATTTTTAAAACATGTATTTTAACAGTTATCTAGAAAATATTATATTTTTATATTGTTAACATTTATAATACGTAACAACGTAAGCTAAATTTATTTTTAAGAATAAGTGTTTATGCTCTTTGCACTATTAAATATTTGAAGTACGGGTGGACTCTTCGAACTGTTGGTAATGTTCGCTAATTTATTTAGAAATATAAATATTGTTGCTAATAATATTGAAAACTTAATTATTATTGTTTCTTTCACTTTTTATAGAAAGCATTCAATATACTATGGCAAAAAATTAAATACGAATGTGCCTATTAACGTAAGTACACATTATATTAATAGCTAATTCATATTACTTATCCACATTTAGATTGGCTTGGCAACTCCTGTAATCCGGCTTCTCGGAGGTCGGGACCGGAGGATGGTTTGAGGTCGGGGGTTCTGGTGCTGAGTGGCCCATGTTGACTGGACGTCCACACTAAGCCTGGTATTGATATGGATCCCCCGGAGGAGTCTGGGGGATGCAGGTCTACTAAGGAGGGGCACCGGGCCAGGGGGGAAACCCAGCAGCCAAAAGTCCCCGTATCGGGCAGTAGTGGGATAGCGGCCGGGAGTGGGTGCTCAGTATCAGCCCGACCAATAAAATCAGACCCGTTCCTTTTTCGTTTAAAAAAGGGAAGTGATCGGCGGCGGAGACCTCTCGCGCCCGGCCTTAGTCGAGGCCATGGTGCGGAGTGAGAGGAACTGGGACGCCGTCTCCTCCTTTTGTGAAGCAGTCATGCTCGCAAAGAGAGAGGCGGCCCGCGTGAGGGAGCAATCCTCCTCCTCACGCCCCAGCAGCCGCAACTGGCGACACTACGGGCGTCGGGGATCGAGGGACGATCTCCGGCCACCGTAAGTACGGGCCTGCGGTCGGCGAGTAAGGGCAGCTCGCCGCCCGACCAGAACCAGGCCCGAGCGTACGGCGCGTAGCGTTCCGCGCGCGCCTCAAAGAGCCAATAGACCACCACAGACGGGGCCCTAAAGGGCTGATGTTCAGCCGGGGTTGCGGGGTAAGCGCAATGAGGTACCGCGACCTCGGCACAGAGCAGGAGAAGGAACAGGGGGGTTTTTAGTCAGTAAGAGTCTGACACTCCCTCCTGCCCGGCCCTGGGCGGGAGAAGTCATTTGATGACTTTCCCCTAACAAAAAAAAAAAAAAAAAACATTTAGATGAACATTGCCTATCGCCAGCGAAAAAATGGATTCTATATTAATTCATTATCTTGGTAGTTTTGCTCAAAATGCCACCTTTCTATTTCTCTTGTATTACGACATTAACGTAATATTTTTAAATAAATGAAAATAAATCTATTGTTTGGGTTTTGGCGGTTTTTTTTATTTAAAGTTTAATTTAGTTAAGGGTTATGGTTAAAATGTTAATCAAATAAATGAATACCATGTCTCATCTTTGTCTTTTATTATTTTACTAGCCATTACCCATGCCTATGCTCGCTTTAAACTCGAAATAACACGGTATTCTGATCCTTTAGAACACAGAACTCTGAATAGAATATTAGCTACAGACAAAATGTTCAACTCTCACAGTACAAAACAAAAAACATATTTACATTCACATTTTACAATAACTCACAGTCACAGTTGAAGTTTGTACAGTCTCATAAATTTTACAAATAGTCCCGCAGACTTAACAAAAGTTAAAAAAAGGTTTCCGGTTTCGTGAAACCAATCACAATAATTCATCACGTTCTGTCAATGTCAAATTGACAATAGGTTGATAAATATACTTTGACATTGAAAGAAGTGAACGTACCTATGTACCTATTTAATTGTGGGCAAAAGAGATAAATTATTGTTTAATTTGAAAGTTACGGCAATTAATAATATCCATTGTACACGTTTTATTTTACTTCTGATTTAAATTTTGTGTAAATATGACGTCTAATATTCCGCTTATTGTGAGATTATTGGCTTCTTCCGTATCCGTAGCCAACAGAGCTGGAAAAATTGTTCGTGATGTTATGAGTAAAGGAGAATTGGGAATTGTTGAAAAGGTATGGAGTCATAATTCTATCATTAGTTAAATTGTAATAAGTATGAATATTTTTGTACGAGCGTCGTTAGCTGAAGAATATTTTATTGGGGCCAAAGTTCAATATTTATGTAAAACTTGTGATGAAAAACATTAATAATAGTTTGTAACTAATTGTTGTTTCAGGGTAAAGATGACTACCAAACAGAAGCTGATCGATCAGCACAGCGTTGTATTGTTGCATCACTTGCAGCACAATACCCAAAAGTAAATATAATTGGTGAGGAGGATGGGCCTGATAATGAGGTAAGGGATTTCTCTAATCTACTGTCAATCTAATATATTCTTAAAAATAAATGTTTAATTAATGTTTTACAGAATTTATTAATTTTCTTTTGAATGTAAATTTACTCTTTTTATAAATTAGAAAACAATTAAACATTGGTGTTTTATGCAATAAAAGTTTTAGCTGTAATTTTTGTTGCATTTAGCATTTAATTGATCTCATGAACAACATTAATCTGGTTTTTGTTACATATTGATATTACTTATGTAAGCATCATAAAATAAAATTTTTAGAATGTCAGTCAATCATAAACAACTTTCACTTTACCCAATCATCAGTTCTGCAACATTGATGTGAGAGTTGTCAATATAGGTTGGTTTGGTGATGTGTGATAATAAGGATATCATACAATTACCTTTCCACCAAGCAGATTATTTATTGGAAACTGTAAATGTAAAGGAACAAAAAAGTTTAGGAAGCAGCCAAAAGCTAAATATTAGGTAGAAAATAGACTTTTAAAATTGTATCACCCATAGAAGGCAGATATTATTATATTTGAGTAATGGGTATGCTAACAGTTATTATTGCAATCACCACAACACAATTACATTCACATAATAAAGACTTTAAGATTTTTTTAGTGTGTACCATTCCAAAAATGAGTAAATTTCATTCAAGTGCTGGTTTGCCTCTATGTCAATAAAAAAAAAAACAAACTGCAGCATAGCATGTGATGTTACTAATAAATTAATAAAATGTGTTGGGAATTCAGGGAGACATTTCTAGTGACTGGTTAATTTCTGAGGCTGATAAAGAAGTGTTGTCGCTGGAGTGTCCTGCCAATCTTCAAGGTGTTAAAGAGGAGGAGATTGTTGTCTGGGTTGATCCTCTAGATGGAACTTCTGAGTATACTCAAGGTAATCATTTATTTTTTGTTTAGAACTGTAGCATAGTACTTAAAATACACAAGCAGATGGGGTTAGGGTTCTACCCTGAAACATTTTGAAATATCAAATTCAATAGCTGTTCTGTCCAATCATAAATTTGTGTTTAAAATTTTTATTACAAATATCTAAAATAATTCTAGGTGCACTAATGTTGAAGAGAGATCCATGGGAAAGATGGAAAATGTACTTAACTCATCCTTTTATAAGTATCAAGTGGTATTTAAGTTTGCTCCAATCTAATTATGGTAAATTGAAGATTTGCATAGGTTTTAAAGCTTTGTAATTTAGTTTGCACTGTAGTAGTATGGACACAGTGGATCATGGTCAAGATATTAATTTCTAAGTATGTATTGTACATATTTCATGTCATTACCTAACAAATACAATCTGTGAACTAACTTTATAATATCAATGAATCTTCATTTGGTTGTAAAATACATGAATTTCGTTCAATAACTTCCTTAAGTATATAATCTTACATCTGCATGTTGCATGAATGTTAAAATGGCTTAATTGCAATAAATAATTTGTAAATTGTTTCAGGATTTCTTGAACATGTTACCGTTTTAATTGGCATATCCGTGAATGAGAAGCCAGTTGCCGGTGTCATTCATCAGCCTTATTATAAAACTATATTGGGCGGGGAGAAGGTCATGGGTAGAACAATATGGGGCCTCCAGGAAGCAGGTGTTGGGGGATTTACCCCGGCCCCTCCTCCCGATTCCCTTATCATTACTACTACAAGGAGTCATTCCAACCCACTTGTTGAGAAGGCGCTGCAAGTCATGAATGCTGCCCAAGTGCTTAGAGTTGGTGGTGCAGGTTATAAGGTGTGAATTAAATATTTCTTAATAATTACATATTATTGAACCTGCTTTTTGTAACAAATGTAATAAAAATTATAGGTCCTACAACTACTGGAAGGCAAGGCGTCGATTTATGTTTTCGCAAGCAGTGGCTGCAAGAAGTGGGACACCTGCGCTCCAGAGGCAGTATTGTCTGCGGCTGGAGGGAGACTGACCGATATTCTCGGCGAATTCTATAAATATGGCGGATCAGAATCACGACCAAACAAAACTGGAGTGTTAGCAGCCGTCTCTAAAGACTTGCACAGTTATGCATTGAATAGAATACCGCAAGAATTGAAAGATGCACTTTCTAAAAAATAGTATCACTTTTTAAAAGTATTAAATGAAGCTGATGTGATGAAATGTAAATAAAACCATTTTGATTTCCTTTTTTTTTAGTAAATTATACGTAAAAAGAACAAAAATCAACAATAATTATACTTATTCAAATTATGATACTGTTATAACATAAATTGTTTATTTTGTTTTAAATATATTTCACCTTCTTTGGAGGTATTATGATGGCTGGATCATTAAAGCTTGCTTTTATACTTTTGTAACATTTTTCTTAATTCTCTTCGGAGGATTTTACCCGAAGCGTTCTTAGGAATGTCTTTGAGGAATATCACACCACCTCGTAGATGCTTCGCTGGTGACACCTGATAAAGAATTTGTTATCGTTATACGCACGTTCTGAATATTATCAGTACATATTTTATCTTAAGTCCTAATAAACTCGTACGATTTGTGTATGCCGTATGTGAGTTGACGTATTTATAAAAAATCGCCTATTTTACACAAAATTTGGGATTGAGAATTACCTTTGACGCAACAAAATCCACAAGTTCTTTCTCGGTGACTTTGGAGTTGGGTTGTGCCACTACGAACGCTAGCGGGAGTTCACCGGCGGCCTCGTCCGGCAAGCCCACTACTCCTGCATCAGCTACCCCACTGTGCTGTAATAGTAAAGCCTCTAGCTCCGCAGGCGCCACCTGAAGTTTAAATAAATAATCAATGTTCCACTACGATTTACTATTGCGTCGTGGGTGCGGTTTCCTCTTTGGTTTTACGTGCGTTTGACGCAAATTCACTCCTATAACCAGAAATAAGAGATTTCTGCATCACACAGAGTTCTTCCGAGCAGGAATTTAACCCGTAAAACAATGCGCAGGATTCGGATGTCCAACCACTGGCCCCGCCAGACGAAATTATTTGGTTTGTATACAATACCTATTTAAGATAAGGTATTAGTAACAATATAATAATAGTTGGAATTAATTGAACAAAACTGAAGGTACTTATTATTATCACAAGATAAATAATTTATTTTACATAAATTATTTATCTTGCAAAAAAGCGTTATCTTCTGTAAATTCAAGATAAAATTTATGTGAACCATTCATATTTTTTGTTATTTATTAATGGTTCAATTAATTTATTTTTTATAGTTACCTCTCACGAGGTGTGCAAGGTTATTTGAGTGGCGTGATACAAGGTTAGCTTATAAAAAATAATAATTAATATTCATTACCTGGAAGCCTTTATATTTAATGAGTTCTTTAAGTCTGTCCACTATGTAGAAATAGCCTTCGTTGTCATAATAGCCGATATCTCCAGTTCTGACGTAGCCTTCGCTGTCGAATAATTCATCACTAGCGGCGCGGTCGCCCATGTAACCTTTCATACGTAAAGGGGACTTAATCCAAAGTTCACCTTCTTTACCAGGACCCAATCTTTGTCCATTTTCAATGTCAATCACCTAAAAATATACAGTTAAAACTAACAATTGTTCATTGAAACATTGAATAGTTTATAAAAAAACTTGTTACAGCAAACGCCAAAATGGGAGGCGACCTAGTTATACAATTATTTTTTTTAGTATTTGTTACAGCAGCAAAATAAATCAGAAAGCTTTCTGCTACCACCTACCACAGTGGTGTTTTAGTTTATTCTTGTCACCATTTGAAACTCTAAAAAAATATTAAATAGAAGTACCTTAACTTTCATTCCTGGCGCGGGAGTTCCACAAGAGCCGACCTTTTCCCCACTTGTTAAGTCCACAAGACAAGCCATCGTCACTTCTGTCAAGCCATAGCCTTGTTTAATGAAGTCAATACCTGTCCTGCAAACACATATAACAAGGACTTAGTTTTATTATTTTTACCCAACTTCACATCTCTTATTACCTGAACTGTTCAGTTATTATTACTGTTTACTATTAAGTAGATGTAAAAGGTCGCGAGACTATTCCCACAGGAAATTCCAGAATCATATTAATACTGTCAATTTTTGATTTTTAAATATCAATATAATTTTACCTGTCTCAGTATTCGAATGTTTGTGGTGCAGTCACATTTGCCACCTTTGCATCAATGAGGCGGTGTAAAAAAGCAGTTAATTAGCTTTAATGAGTATTTTTACATTGGCGGGAAATGGAGTTCGTGTTTTAGTTCTTAGGTAGGTGAAACACAATAATGCACACGAATTACGTATAACAGGTAGTGTTTATTGGAAAGACACTTAGAAATACACAATAGACTATACAGCAAATATAGGTAGGTACTGCTTATACAAGGTTTTGGCGGGAACGAGCGAGATCCGCGGAAGATAACTGTTCCGGGCGTTAGAAGCGGGCGCGCGACTCGACTGACTCCTGAGTGGCGGGAGCGCGGTAACGCGGCGCGGGCACAGGGCGCATGCGCGGGCGTTGCGCGGGCGGTGCGCGGTCCTTACGTGGCCGACGCGGTACCTACTGCTTAACGGTCTACCGTTTCGCGCCACAATCCGCGCGCGATAGTCTCCCCCTCTAACCCAAACGAACGTCCTCGCGTTGGGGTTAGCAAAATCTACGAGGCCTCCCCCTCTTTCGTTTCTCCTGTACCGGGTCTTGGATGCGACCGACGAAGGGAGTCAACACAGAAGCATGATACTTACCTAGCACCGTACCATCGCTGAGGCGCTCGAGAGTGTATGTGGTGGGACTGACCACGGCCTTAATCCTGTAGGGTCCGTCACGGCGCGGTATAAATTTTGCGGTCTGCCCCTTACTGGTGTCATTAATTCCCTGGGTTTTCAACAACACCAGGTCGCCAGTCTTGTAATCTGGCGCGGGACGACGATGTTCGTCGGTGTACTTTTTATGTGCCGCCTGGGCATTTTCAAAGACATCACGAGCGTTTATGAGGACCGACGAAATCCCCTTGAGGTAATTCGTGATGTCACCTACGTAATTATCGTTCTCGATAATGGTGCGCATCTCTGAAATAACGTCTGCTGGCGCGCGTATCTCTCGCGCGAAGCTTAAATAAGCGGGTGAGTAACCCGTCCCCGACGTGACCGCCGAGTTCATGGCGAAACGAATTGCAGGCAAGTGGATATCCCATGTATTATGGTCTTTACCTACCAGAATCGCCAGCTGTGGCTTGAGATCTCGGTTCTTACGCTCTACCGGGTTCGCTTCGGGATGGTAAAACGAGGTAAGTGACTGCGTTATTCCCATTGTGTGGCAAGCCTGCTGCATCACCTCACTGACAAACTGTACGCCGTTGTCACTAACAAGGCGCCTAGGAACACCGAACCGTAAGTATACTTCTGAAACGAGTATCTTCGCGCATTCCTCACTGGTAGCCGAAGTGAGACCGAAAAGCTCCACCCAGCGCGAGCAGGTGTCCTCGACTATCAGGATCCACTTATTCCCTCTTGCTGTTTCAGGTAGAGGACCAAACAAGTCTACGGATAATACCTCAAACCTGCGTGTAAAAGCTGGTGTTTGTAATAGTCCAGCCGGCTTCCTTGTATCTGCCTTATATCGCTGACAAGGTACGCAATTCTTTACGTACTGCGTAACGTAGGAACGCATTCCCGGCCAGTAGTACTTCCCGACCAAGCGTTGCAGCGTACGTTCAGCGCCCATGTGACCAGCGGTGGGCGCATCATGGTACTCGGCCAGCACCTTGGCACGTTCTTGCTCCGGGACTACCAGACTGGCGTCGTCGTGTTCTTCGTTCTCGGGGCAATATCTGTACAGCACACCTTCGGTGAGTACGTACCCTTTATTTGACCATACCCTCCCCCTAGAGGGGTCGTCGGACTCTAGTGCTTCGACGATTTTGCTGACCTCTGGATCCTTCATTTGATTCTCGCGCACGTCCTTTAGACTACGAGAGGGCACGTCGACCGCTGCGCAGCACAGATCACAGTCGGCATCTTCGGCACATGCCGGGCGCGACAGAGTGTCGGCTATAACGTTCGCCTTACCTGGAGTGTATTCTATCTTCAGGTTGTACTCTTGAAGACTCAGGGCCCACCTGGCTAGACGACCGCTTGGAGATTTCATACTCATCAGCCACCTAAGCGGCTGATGGTCTGACTTTACCACCACTTCTGCGCCGTCTATGTATCCCCTGAACTTGGAGACGGCCCAGACGACGGCTAGAGCTTCCCTCTCCGTCGTGCTGTAGTTCGTTTCAGCAGCGTTCAAGAGGCGACTGGCGTATTCTATCGGGCGCTCGTCGGTCCCCTCCCCCTGGAGGAGAACCGCTCCGAGAGCGTATCCACTGCTGTCGGTCCTGAGGACGAAGGGCAACGTCGCATCAGCCTGACGCAGGATCGGCGCCGATACCAGCAGGTGCTTGATCTTCTCGAAAGCAGCTTGCTGGTCCGGGCCCCATTTCCATACACTTACCTTTTTCAGCAGCGCTGTCAATGGCTTGGCGACCTCTGCGTAGCCAGGGATAAAACGCCTGAACCAGCTGGAAGTCTGCAGGAAACATTTTAGGTGCTTTACGTTGCGCGGTGGTGGCATATCCGCGATTGCCGCGGTCTTGCCTGGATCTACGTGAATACCACCCGGTAAGATGATGTGCCCTAAGAACTTCACCGATTCCCTCGCGAAGTGACTCTTTTCGCGGTTCACCCGCAGGTTGAACAAGGCGAGACGATGGAACACGGAGGTGAGATCGGCGAGGTGTTTCTCGAAGCTCTCGTTGGACAACACTAACAAATCATCCAAATAAGCTAGGATAGTGGTACCTGGTAAGTTCGATTTGAATCTGTCGATCAACCTTTGGAACGTAGCGCCTGAATTGCGCAACCCCATTGGCATGCGCTTGAATCTGTAGGTGCCGAACGGAGTGGTGAACGCTGTCTTATCCCTATCGGCAGGGTCGACGTTCACCTGAAAATAGCCAGCTCGGAGGTCTAAAGTAGTCATGTACTTAGCGGTCTTCGCGTCGTGAAGAATGTCCTCAATCCTCGGGAGAGGGTACCTATCAGGTTCGGTGACAGCATTAAGCTTGCGATAGTCGACGCATAGTCGGAACTTGCCATCTCCCTTCTTGACAAGCACGACATTCGATGCCCACGGCGATTCGCATTCTTCGATAACATCAGAGCTGATGAGGTTATGCAGCTCCTTCTCAAGCGCTTCCCTCTTAGGAGGTGACAATCTAAACGGGGGAGAGGCCAGGGGTTCCTGTGTTTCACTCACCTTTATTTTGTGAACTGCGAAGTCGGTGGGTGGTCCAGCCGAAGCAAACTGAGCGACTCTGTCTCGCAAGAACTCGTTGAGTGCGGCCCTGTGCTCCGGTGACAAGCTCGTACCTTCGTCGTTGCGCAGTGATACATCGCTAATCTCCACCTGTGCCACTGTCGCGCTGTTTAACACAAAAGATTGCAAAAACGGGTACCGGTCTCCTGGACTATCCGCAAAATGCCAGGACTCTTGGGCTATGTCTAACACGATCTCAGCCTGTGCGATAAAATCGCGACCTAAAAGAGTCCGGGTGTCGTCGCCGGGAAACACCATGAACTCGGTATTGACTCTTCGACTATTTAACGTGACCGGTACGGTCGCGGTTTTAATAGTCTTTCTGTGACATGAGCCATCGGCAAGCCCGACATATCGTTCCGTTTCGTGAAATTCGATGCCGTTATTTATAAGCAACGAATATAACATCGGGCTAGCGACGCTATGCGTAGCGCCGGTATCGAGTATCGCTACACCTTCTTTTCCTACGACGCTTATTGCTACTAAAGGGTGCGATGACATCATAGTCGCAAAGAAGTCTCCTTTTACGACATTAAAATCGGCTGACTTACCTGGCGCGGACGTGGATTTACCCGAACATGTTTCGCACTTCGATTTAACTACCCCTGCCTGGCCGCATCCATAACAGCGAATTGTATTACTTACAGTACTAACGCTAGTATTGCCTACTTTACTAGAGGAATCTTTGCTATCGACTTTGTTCGCGGCTTTCCGACATTCATTGGCCGCGTGGCTGAACGATCTACAGAATGAACACCGAAAACGATTTCGCTTAGACGATTCGTTCGAATTAGAGGTGAGTTTGGGACTAGTAGTTGCGTTCGAACTCGTAGTAATACTCCGGTCGGGAACAGTAGGTATGTTCGAATTGTTCGCGGGAACGTTTGAGATTTTTAGTTCGGTTATTGAATCTTCTGTGAGTCTCGCTCGCTCTAACAGATGTTCAATGTCGGTGATGGTGTCTCGTGACACCCGTTTTCTTATACGCCGGTGTAATAAACCGTACACTATATCTACCATCATCTCGTTTGGCACAGAATAGGGTAACTGAATAAGTAAACATCGTACCTTTGACACAAAAACTTCAGCACGTTCGCACTCACTTTGTTTACACTGGAATACCTCGCGCAGTATCATGTGCGCGGGCTTCCGCACGCCGTAGGTAGCGCGCAAGCGCGCTAGCGCGTCCGGCCACGAGCCGACCGCGGCCCGGGCACCGCGCCACCACAGCGCCGCGTCGCCGTTCAGCAACATGGAGAGGCCGCGTAGCGCGTGATCGTCTGTCACGCCGGCGCACTCCTTGTATACCTCCACTGCGTCAATGAAGGCCTCCAGTACCTCCGGGTCGCGGGACTGGCCGTCAAACCTAGCGGTGCACTTTGAAAAATTACCGCCACAGGCCGCGGGTGTGTTCGCCGAGGGCGAAGCCGCCGGCGTCGATGTGACGGGGCTCCACGTGTCGCCGCCGTGCCGTAGGGATCGCAGAGTTTCCACGAACGTGCGGTTTGTTTCCGCCTGCATCCGGGCGAAAGATTCCATCATAGTGGATAGCAGTCGCTCGGTATTGGGCGCTGCAGCAGGCGCGCCGGTCTGGGCCTCGCCGAGCGTGTGGTCGAGAGCGGCGCCCCTCCGGGCGCGCGGCTCTTCGGTTGCGGCGGGCGCGCCGGTCCGGGCCCCAGCGAGCGTGTGGTCGAGGGCGGCGCTCCCCTGGGCGCGCGTCTCCTCGGTCGCGTCGTATGCGTCGCGTGACTGGGTGGTAGCGGCGCCGGCATGGGCGCGCGGCTCCACCACTGAGTCGCAGTCTGAATCGGAGTAACCGTCACTTCCTTGCTCCTCCGCCTTGTGTCCGATTTGTGCTCGGGTTGCTCGCGTAATTCGTGGCATGATTAGGTCTTTATAATCACTGAATATATAACACTTCACTGGGTTCGTTTTACTGCCGACGATAAACTAACGTCGGGCCGCGAGTTGGGCGTCACTTTTACATTGGCGGGAAATGGAGTTCGTGTTTTAGTTCTTAGGTAGGTGAAACACAATAATGCACACGAATTACGTATAACAGGTAGTGTTTATTGGAAAGACACTTAGAAATACACAATAGACTATACAGCAAATATAGGTAGGTACTGCTTATACAAGGTTTTGGCGAGAACGAGCGAGATCCGCGGAAGATAACTGTTCCGGGCGTTAGAAGCGGGCGCGCGACTCGACTGACTCCTGAGTGGCGGGAGCGCGGTAACGCGGCGCGGGCACAGGGCGCATGCGCGGGCGTTGCGCGGGCGGTGCGCGGTCCTTACGTGGCCGACGCGGTACCTACTGCTTAACGGTCTACCGTTTCGCGCCACAATCCGCGCGCGATAGTATTTAATTAAGAAAGAATGCAATACCTTTCTGACACTGCTTTTTGAATATCCTTCGATAACGGCGCGGCCCCGCACCAAACTTCAACTAAAGATGACAAGTCATACTTGAGAACTAGAGGGTGTTTTGCAAGGAACACAGCCAGCGGTGGGACTATTGTAGTCATATTTATCTGTAAGCATTATGTACTTAAAACATGCACGGTTTCAAAGAGTAAACGGAGTTAGGCAGTACTACTTTATTAAATCTATTTTTCCCCATATAATTAGTAAAATGAAAACTCGCACAAATATGCAATTGTTAAAACTGTGCCAACCCTAGAGCCAAATAGTAGTATATCAAATAACCAGATGCAATAGGAAAAGTTAACCCATTTAAGGGTTACAATGGGATGTGGTTAGATGTGCATGCGTAAAACTCATCAAATTATGTATTGCCCAGTTACACTGACCTGGTTGGTGAACTCAAGGGCTTGCAGTTGACAATCGGAAATTAAGAAAAGGAATAGTGGTTTTGAAAAAGATGAAGTTAGTGAGTATTTGAACTTTTATTAGCTTCCTGTCGTCCTTGCTATGTTCCTGGCACAATGATGAGGTGATATGAATTGATTAACTACAATTTTAGAATAAATACGAAAAATTATTACTTTTATAGCATAATATTTTGAAAATGTTTTATTAAATCCAATAAAAACTTACTTTGTAATTTTGAATAGTTTCCAAGTACTGTTGTTCATCAAAACGGATTAAAAATACGATTTTTGTGTTCATCGCCATTACGGCAAATGTTGTGATAAATCCATAAGCATGGAACCAGGGTATCAGTGACAGACCAGTCACAATTCCATTGTTTTTCTTGGACTGCACATAGTCAAAGTAATAACTGAAACCATAATATGTACAACATAACAAATATTATGTGTTTATTTTTCTACCACAAAACAAAGATGTAGTAGTGATCTAGGCAGGTAAATTATTTTTGGAGTCGTAAAATTCCATTTGGTGTTAGACTATGACTGATTAAAATTTGTATAATTAAAAAAATATAAGAATGTATATATATATCTGTAGGATTTATGATTTATCAATCTTGTGATCCAGTCAAGAGTAGTTGCATTGTATTCCACATTTAGAGCAATAGAACTAAAAGCATCACATAACTCACTTCATATGTGCCGACAATGTTAGAAAATTAACATGAGTGAGTTCCACACCCTTTGGTAAGCCTGTAGTCCCTGAGGAACACATTACAGCCACTGTATCTTCCAGTCCGTTCACATCAGTCAGGGTAAAGTCATTTACATTGACTTGGTCCTTTATCAAGTTATCATACATAATGCAATCAGGAACTGCTTCAAAATCTCCAAACATAATGAGTTTACATTGAGAAGATAATTCTTGGCAACAATCATAGATGTTCTGCGATGTGATCGGAGAAGTAAAGATGTATTTAGGTTTCGTTATTTTAAGCAAATGACTTATTTCACCTGTAAGAAAGTTTGAAGAATGTTAATGTTATTGGAACAAGACGGAATTTGATAAAATAATTATGAAAATTTGGTTATCTTGTAACTAAAGATATAAATGCTAATTAAGTAATTACAGATTAGCACAGAATCTTAATGATTTGAAATTATAATATTGAGATATTCATTCAGCAAGCTTGTTGAGGATGTTAATATTTGGAATGATGACATCAGTATGGTGGTGATGTAATATCACACACCTACAACATATTTATGACATCCTTTATTGACTTGACTAGTTTAAAGTACTGGGTTCACTTACCAGGTGTATATGTTATGTTGAGTGTGGATAATATTCCCCCACAGTACATAACTGCTAGGGCAGCCACAATGAACTCAAACCTGTTTTCACTGCTCAGCCCTACTAGGTCACCCTTCTTCAAGCCTAACTTTCTTAAACTTACTGCGAGGTTAACACTGTTTTGAAGAATATATCTATATGTTACGGACTCCCCAGTTTCAGCACTAATCTAAAACAAAATACGGACAGAGGAATTATTGAATGATTTTAGGTATAAATGATGTTGTCTACTTATGCACTTACATATTTTAATAAATATAAAGGCAAATGAATGTTATGGAATTTATTAACTTACTAAAGCTATGTTATCTCCTCCATTTTTCAGCTGATCGTATAAGAATTGTCCAAAAGATAAATGCGCTGGAATGGCTCGTTCTTCGGGTCCAGATACCACATTGTTGTGAATAGTTACCGGCATTTTTGATGCGGATTACTCCTGTGTTCTCTGTACCTAACTAAATGTATCTGAAACTTGACTTTAAACAAACTAGCTGTAAGATATCAGAATTAATTCTAATCTTATCTAATTAGTATATCTATAATTCTAATATCTTTCTGACGATTTGACTATCAATGGATTAAACCTTGGATGGAGTGTAAATTAAATAATTCAATACATTTTAGGTTACTTCGGATTTCGAAGTGTCAGTGTCACTACTGTCATTTTCAATAGTCTTCTTTTTCTAGTGATGAAATTATGCCCTAACAATCGATAGCATTGGTTGGATAATGTATAAATTGAAAATTATTAAAATTTATCCTTTGTCTGGTAATATAATGTTAATTTATTCCGATATATTTACACAAACTTACATTAAGGTTGACAGACTTGTGGGTTAAGCGCAATCATGTAGGTACCGTGGTTCTGGCACGGAGCAAAAGAAGGCACAGTGTGTCAGTCAGTAGGAGTCGTGACCCTCCAACTCGCTCGAATTTATTTGATGACTTTCTACACTGAAAATAAAAAGATGAAGAAAGGTAGTCTCTGAATTGATCTTTTGTGACGTTTATTACAATTTAAACCGCAACATCGGACATTATGACAACGCTTGCTGCAATGATACCAATTCGTGACCGTTTGACTATTTGTTTTTATGCAACTCTTACTGACTAAAAACCCCTCGTTCCTTCTCCTGTTTTTGGCCAAGGCCGCGGTGCCGCATTGCGCTTATCCTGCAACCCCGGCTGAATATCAGCCCTGTGAGGCCCCGTCTATGGTGGGCTATAGGCTCATTGAAGCGCGCGCGGAACGCTAGGCGCCGTACGTTTGGGTCTGGTTTTGGTCGGGCGGTGAGCTACCCTACTCGCCGTCCGCAGACCCATCCTTACGGTGACCGGAGATCATCTCTTGATCCCCGACGCACGGAGTGTCGCCCACCACGGCGGCTTCCCAGTTCCTCTCACTCCACACCATAGCCTTGACTAAGGCCGGGCGCGAGAGGTCTCCGAGGACACGGCAGTGCTCAGCCCAAGGAGGGCACACCGCCACCGTATGCTCCACAGTGTCCTCTGGGTGATAATATATACACCTTAATGACTGTAATAAATTAATTGACTCGATAATCATAATAGAGAAAATTATATCTATATTATAATCGCTGTAAATTATTTGGTCCATCACTAGTAGCAAAACGTTTGACGTTTAACACTTTTGACATTATCTTAGCAAGGTTGCCATCTTACTGTCACTGAAACAAATTAAATAATAAAAAAATACAGTTGCCAAAAGAAGAATAAAAAATCCAGTTTTCGTTTTTTTTCAAGGTTATTCTGGCGGACTTTGCCTGTATGTAGTCATCATAATGTTGCTAATTACAATACTATAATATGTTATTTGTGGATTGTGTTGATAACTTTTATTACATACATACGAGTTTGATATAATACGTATACATAAAATAAGCATTATTTTAGTGACGGCTGCTTGGCTGATTTGGTTAGTTACCGCGTTACCTAGCCAAAAAATGGATAGATCAGGATTTTTAATTGATTTTAAAAATACGTCCTCAATTTGACCTGTTTTATATACCTAAGTAGTTTGGGTACGGCATATTTTTGGCGTATTTCGACTTATTTAAAAATTCTCAATTTGAATTTTTCAATGTAAAGCTCTGACTAGTTTACAGTAATCTGCTATATAATACGATTTAATCATAGCAGTAAGGCCTTTGAACTATTTTTCAGTGATACGTGATGTCGGTCTTTATTTTAATTAGAATAACAGTTAGCCAGGAGTCAGAACATTAGCGATGTTTTACCCCTCGGAAAGTACGTAACGCCGTGGGTCCAGCGCCGTTCCCTCTGGTTGTGTCGGTCTGCTGTCCAAACGGTTTTAGAGCGAAAAAACAGAGAGCACCTGTGTTTGGGCACACACTTATGCACTATAGTTTATTTATTTATGTCAAAGTATTAAGTATTATTTTTCATAAGGCAAACCTACGTATGTTTCATAAGTTAAACTTTTTTAAATAAAGCGTTGCCCCACACTAGGATCTTCTGTCGTGGATGCGTTTACAACCATACGATTTCACATGCACATGATATCCAGACCCGGAGCAACAATGCGTAGATCACACAAAAAGTTGTTTCGGGAATCAAACCCGCGACACATTGCGCGGCAGCCAGTTGCCCAGCTACCGCGCCAACCGTGCAGTCGTAAGCTGTAGTAGTAGCTGCAGTTTAAGTTGCAACAAATATTTAAATACGACAAAGGTCATCGACCACTATCTAAATCTTCCAGCGACTGTGCCCTTACCACAATGTTGAGTCCTTTCCATGCTAAGAACTTGAAGGCGGCTTCCAATGTAACGATGAACATCTTCGGAGATATGACATCGCCTTGCCTGATACCTCGCTGGAAAGGCATTTCCCTCGTGGTCTGCTCCTATACTCGGATCGACATGGTAGCGTTTTTGTACAAGCAATTCGAGAGATCTTGATGTACCAATACCTAGTCATTTACACACAAGTCCTAACACTGCCTCAGTTTCGATCGAATCAAAATCTTTGTCACCGTCCACAAACGCTAAGCATACTGATAAGTTAAACTCCTGGATTGTCTGTATAACTTGCCGCAGTTTAAGAACCTATTCTGTATGAAAAAAGGTTCAAGGCTCAGGCTTTTCTGAAATCGGCTTGTTGGCTGATCCGTGGAAAGAAATGTTGCAGATATTCCACGTTAACAAAATATAAGTTAGTACCCTATCTATTTTATACGTCTATATGTTTGTTAATGTTTTAGGTACATTTCACTTCTAAATACCTGTTTTTTCTCAGTATTCAACAGAAAAAAAGGTTTTAGTCTAAAACGTTTAAGTGCCTTATTTACATTGCTAAATAAAAGGTATCTCAATACTCGCGAACATTGTCAGTAGGCGGTCTTGTTACACCTATTGATAATGGATAATTTATAAGTATATATAGTTATATCATAGTTAGTAAATCAATAGATTACTAACCAACTAAATGCTTAATAGGGTTGTCAATAAAATTTCTGTTTGACGAATTATCGAACTAGGCAATCGGCTGAGGCTGCCTGTGTCATGAAGCAAGTGATACATTTCTATCATAATGTCACAACTTTTTTAATCTCATATGGGGTCAGAGCAGTATATTACATACATCTCGGACTGAATGAATGAGTGCAATGAGTGTGTATGTTAAAGTAGATACTTAGACATTGTGTATACTTATGTGTGTAAAATATTAAATTAAAATATAATATGTGTAACTTGATGGGCGTCATTTTGGCCCAGTGGCTCTCCCCTACAAACTACCCTATTTTGTAGGTAAGGCAAAATATTTTTAACAACGACGCGGGTAGGTGCCTGAGTAGGTAATTGCGTACCTACGTAGGTATACTTTATATATACAATACCGACTATATTATACATAAACGTTATAGGTAAGTACTCAATTATAGTCGCCAATGATGACATTATGTGAATTGTGTAGCAAAATGTAACTGACTAGCTACTCTCGCGCGGTTTCACCCGCTGCTCAGCTCCATTTGATCGTAGCGTGATGTTTTATAGCCTATAGCACTCAGGAACAATGTAGCTATCTATCAGTGAAATTTTGGCAATCCGACCAGCGGCTCCAAAGATTACCCCCTACATACAAACTTTACCTCTTTATAATATTAGTATAGAAAACTTACTGTAGGCATATAAATAATATATGTATAAACACTCTAGCTAGACCCAAATTTGATGCATCTAAGTTCTCATGCGCTCGCGCTGGTTCTAAATGTCAACATAGATTGTTTGAAGAATTATGTAAACTGATTTTACAATAGGAATACAGAGAAGCGTGTAAAAATAATTGAAACTATGACGGAATACCAGTCAAGCAGGTACCTGCTCAACCGGTAAGAGGTTAGTAACCTACATGCACCTTGTACAGAACTTGTTACCCACTTGATTAAATGCTATAGGTACTCGTACTTTCTTTCAATTTTCGTTGTCCACAAACTCGTAGTCCGTGCCCTTGTCACACAAGTTACCTACATTTTACATTTATATTCCTCTTAATATTTGTAAAGTACCTACATAGTATGTTACATATTACAACTAACCACATCTATAGATACTAATAGATAATAATACAGTTCAATACGCCGGGAAAGCCGACCTGCTCGGGCAGAAGGTAGCCGTTCACGAGTATGACGTGTCAGCAGTTGGACTGGGCAACCATTTTCTTGGAAACAGAACAACCTAACATACAGTGCAGACTTATGACAATGCATCGATACTTACATAAAGTGAAGTAGGTTTATAAAAAACTTGATGAGATATTATGAAGTTATTATGTATCGCGTAGCAACCCTAGTGCGGCCTCTTACTGACTTGATAATTGTAAAACATGACTGGGTGACTTGCCATGTTGATAAACAGTATTAGTTTAGTAGTCTAGAGAGTCGGTGTACTATTTTCATTGTGTTTTCGTTCCATTCAGTGTTCATTGTAATTTTACTGGGCAAGTAACTAGTGCGAGTGTAGAACAAAATGATTATTAATAACGTGGTCACAACCGGCCCCCCGCTAAGTGTGCCAAGTCATTTGTCTTTTGCACAATATGCGATAGATAAATTGAGAGAAAACAGTAAAGATGGTGATGCTGTGGCCGTGGTAAGTTTAACATAATAATCATCGTCGTTTTTAAGTATTTTTTTTTGTGTACACAATAAAGTATCGAGAGCTGAATAGTCTGTGTGCGTATATCGTTTATTTTATTTATAGGATCTTTGACCCGCTATCAGATACGCGATGTGTGTTCAAGATGACAAAAACCTGTTTATTTACTTGTGTAAACAATTCCATTTCAAGTGGTTATGTTATAACGTATCGATTAAATATTTGATAATCAACAGTAGTTTAGGGTCACATAAGTAGTTTTTTGGAGCGTAGTAGAATATTTTATTATAATATTTTCTTTGGTTTAGTATTCGATTTTAAGTTTATATAGTTTATTAATCATATACAAAATCGTAATAGGTAGTTTCAGCTTGTTTGTAATTAATCAATTAGGTACTGTTTATTTTTGGTGTTGGAAAATTGTTTCACAATATATTTATTTATTATTACTACCTAAATACCCCAAGAAAGTTAGTATGTAGGTATCTAAGTACATACCTATCTACCTACATAAGTAACTGTTCTGCACGATATCTCGTATGTTAACTTGCATTATAAAAGTATTTGTTTTGTTATCTTAATATCTTAATACTATTCAATATAATAATATCTTAGATCATATAGAAACGATAATTGTTCTAATGCAAAAAGCGTTACTTGGCACCTAAACATCGTAACAACATAGGTACTTACACGAATTGAGATAAATGCAAATTAGAGGTACAGATCAAAGGTCAACATTTAGATTCGTTTGTAAATTGTTTGACGTAAATATTTAAATAAAAAAGAGGTAGGTCTGTGCCGATTATGTAACTCTTTCTTAAAGCCAGCACTGTGTCTCCTCTGGTGTTGCTGGTGTCTATGGGCAGCGCTGTTTGGGTCCTACCTATAATAAACAATACCTTTTGAGAGCCTATTAAAAATGAGATTAATATATTGTTAATATATGAATACTTAGCTATCAATATCACATTCATTTGA